CATGTGCACGTCCAGCCTATCCTTGAACACCCTCACCGATGGGGCCTCAACCACCTTCCGTGGAAGCCCATTTCACACCCTCGGGGTCCTAACCTCCAGGAAGCGCTTCCTGGCATCCACCCTAAATCTTGGTTCCCTGAGCTTTGCTCCACTGGAACATGCCCTGTCCTCCACTGCAGGGGGAAAAAGGTCATGTCCCACCTCTGTGTACCTGTATGTTGGAAACAGGTCCCCTCGGAGCCTCCTCCTCTCCAGGCTGAAAAGACCCAGCTCCCTCAGCTTCTCCTCATATGGCTTCCCCTGCAAACCAGCCACCTTCCTAGTGGCCCTTCGCTGCACCGATTCCAACCTTGCTGCATCCCTCTTGTAATGAGGGGCCCAGAACTGAACGCAAGACTCCAGCTGTGGGATGCATGAGGCCTACATGAAGCTCTGTCTCATCCAGACCAGAGTATGAGCACAGTCAGCCGTCCCCCTCACTCTTTCCCAGTACTGAGAATTTTAGCATTTATTTGGAAGGGTTGAAAATCGGAACATAACTGGAAAGGGTGTGCTGTTCTTGTTAAAATCTATAGCGTAACCACACTCAAAATGTTATGTATAGTTCTGGTCACCAACTGTAGGCATCCCATAGGCATCACCTTGCTATTCTTCTGAATGCTTAATGGAAGAGATCCACATTCCATCTTCTGAAGGATTTGACAATCCAAAGGTATGTTATAACTGAGCCCCGATATGGTTCAAACTACGTAAATAACCAAAGATAAGGATCTGACTTAGTGTGGTAATGAATTCTCCGCTTCCCCCATCTTGTGGCTGTGAGTCTGACTTGCTGCCGACCATGCCAAGCATTCACACGGGCAGGAGCACGTGAAGAAGAAGCTCTTCCTTGTACCAGACTTGCACCTTTGTCTGTGCTGCACCTGCAGGAGGAGGCGGCTACTTCTTGCACACCTGGAGTTCCGTGAGCATCCACAGACCTCCTCTCAGCTCGGCTTGCTTCCAGACCCAGGACTGAGCAGAAGAGGAAGTCCCATGAATAGTACAGAGAGGAATCCAAAAGGACCATCACCACTCAGCTGGGTCCGTCTGGAAGTCCCTTTCAAGTCACAGGATGTATTTGATGTATTTGTCCCCTCCTGTTGACTAAAGCATCAAAATGCATCCCTGCCTGCCCCCACCATGGACATGTACATTTCAAATTGCATTTTTTCTGTGCAACACATTCTGCAAGGATGATTGTGAGTCTGGGATTATCTGAGCCCCGATATCCTCGGAATAAACTGTTTATTACATTGCATGTGATATTTTCTCTTTTCATTGGAGAAGTCAGTCCTGAAGCCTATAGAGATACGATTGGCATTGTACCCTAACCCCTCCCTGTAGGTAGAGGCTAGACACACCAACTCCAGGTATGTCTAGCCCCTGATAGGCTGGACATGCACATGGTAGGCATGTCATGAGCGGAACCGGCTGCAGCCGGGGATCAGAAAACATGGCCCGGGAGGCCCCTTCTGACTCGCTGTTTCTATGTTTCTCGGTATATGGAAGGCTTTGGGGAAACCACTCCCAAAAACCTCCCCACTCTCTTGGCGTGTGCCTCAGCGTCACTAACAGCTGCTGCTTCTCTTGGTCATTTCTTTTTGTCCACCAGGTGGCGAGGTGATGAGCAAGCAGGCAATGGCAGCTGCCACTGCCCCTTCTCATCAAGGGGGCCATTACGGAGAAGAAGGCTTCATGGAACATGGAAGCCTTGCCCAAACGAGGAAAACAAAAGGAACACCAGCCTGCACAGAAGAGGAGCAATCGAGCAAGAGGAGATGTAACGTGTGTGTGTGTGTGTGTTTGTGGACCACATCACTAACAACAGCAAGGTCAGCAAAAAAGGATGATTTAAATATATCCTAAGAAGGAGACCATTGAATAATAATGCAGCTATAGGAGCATTGAAGCAGAATAAGGAGATTGCAGATAAGCTAAACGAATTCTTTTAATCTGTCTTCACAGAAGAGTATTGATTCAATTGAAGATAACACAATAATGCATGCATTCAAATACACTCTACGGATACATGTGCTTAAGAAAATGTGCATGTAAATTAGCACAATTTTGGAAAAAAAGAAGGCTCACAATATATGTGTGCAACTTGGAACAGATTTTGAGGTGGAATTTGAAGAACTTCAGTGATCCCAGATTCTGCAGACACCTCCTTAAAGGAAGCCAAGAGGCAATAGAAATCCCTAAAAGGGATCAGCTTCTTTCTAGCAGGATGCAGAAATAGAAAAATAGACTAGACTCAGCTTAATAGGATATTTCTGTTTCCTGCTCTTGTAAAACCATCTAAGAAAGTAAGTTAACAGCTAAAACTGTATTTAATTGCTCTGTTCTTTCTTTGAAATTTGGTTCCAGTAACAAATTCAACTGAAGGTATTATAACCCATCTGAGAGCTCCCAGCCCAGATGCTGCTTATCTTAGGATCTCCCTTTCATCCAGGAGCAAAAAATTTTAGCATTTCCTTCTTCAGAACAATCAAGAAATTCTGCATGGATCCCTCTCGACATCTGCACAGTGAACAAGACCATAGGGGAGGCCTTGGAGGAGCCATGATGGCAAATGAGCAGCAGCTGCTGTAAAGAGCTCCTCCAGGAAAGTATTTTTCTGTCATTTGTAATTTTAATTTATAGTTCTAAATACAAACCCTTCCTTTGCTGCCTTAAGAGAAGCCTTAATGTTAGAAAGAGTTGAGAAAACTCCAGGACATTATCAACCACTATGGGAAAAAGAAGGCAGGAGGAGGAAGGAAAGGAAGAAGCAAAAAACCAATTCCACAATACAGGCCAGCTCTAAGCCCCCAAAGCTGCTGAAAGTCGACAGTTACATAATGAGCGACCAGCCAACTTCTGTAAGTACCGCTACTCCCTCACAGCTCTCCGCTGGAAATGGTGATTTAGAGTGGGGCTTACAAGGAGAGATTACAACTTAGATCTCTCCTCTTCAGCAGAAGAAAACTCTCTCTCCTTGGAACATGTGACTGCAATTTGTTCTGCAGCCGTACAGTTAACACAGAAAGAGAGGGCAAACGCCAACCTGACAAACCTAAAGGACCAAAATGTATCTGATTTTCTAACCAGAGAAAATCTGCTGATGGCACAAACTGTTCTATTTTTTGACTTGTTATCCACAGTTAAAATCAACGTGGACTCTTTAGAAGAGGTCTTTATAAAGCAGATGGAAAATCAACCAGATTACTACCCTGGAAAAATATTAATGTCTTGTACAAAGCGTGCCACAAAAGCAGATAGCAGGGAAGTCATGGACAACTTTCCCCTACAGCAAGGAAAAGAGGGAGCAGCAGGCAGGGAGAGCTGATTACTCCTGTGGGAAAGGGTGCCAAACAATCCTCCAGTGGACAGGTAATCGAGGGAGAGAGACTCCTAAACCACAAATTCTGTTTACTGCCCAAACAATTCACCTTAGAAAAATCATAGGGGACGATGGAAATCAGAAAGAGCAATTATCCTATCTTTAAGCCAGCTATTATGCAGCAAAAATCAGCTGATTGATTTACAAAGTGACTCCCATCAAGCAGAGGTTGGGAATGAATTTTATTTACATTTAGGCAATCCACAGTTCCCAGTATGTTGCTTAAAAGCGAGCTTTTCTGCATACTTTTTCAATTCTTTTGAGATTTGTGTTCTGCTCAGAGGAACCCAGCCCACTTTTGGGACATTGTAGCCTCAAGAGGGTCATCACTTTAAGAAATAAATATGACCCCCTGACTCAGGTTTCCTTCAAGGACACTTAATCAGTTCTGTCCCTGAGTGATGACTGTCCAAGCAAAAAGCCCAGACTATTTTAAGCAAGGCAGTGTACAGATGACCCCCTGGGGAAAAATCTGATTAACTCTTTTAGTACCCTACCAGGTTCAGAGCAAGCGGATAGTCTTAAAAGTCTGGATGAACTGGGAGAAACCTTAGTGGCAACATGCAAAGTAGCCAGACCATTAATTGATCTGGTCCTACCAGCTACCCAAGCTAGCTGTCAACACTCTGAGAAAAGATCTGTTGGCCCCCTCCTCAAACCCATGGAGTCTAGACCCTAGAAACACAGGGTCCCCCAGATCAGAGTCAAATTTCTACATCCCACTCCTTGCTAAAACAGAGCAAGACCCAGAAACTTCAAAGATGAAAAAGCAGAATGTTGCTGTTAGACAAGAGGAAGGCCTTGACTGCCTAAAACCCCGGGAACTTCAACTTGAATCAGGTGATAGGTCACATATGACATGGACTATTGTTGCTTAAATACCCAATAAGTGATGCAGAGTCCAGCCTTTTAGGCAAACCTTCACCGCAGGAACCACATGGAATCAGGATAATGGCAGCCTCCGAGGTGGGAAGAACATCACAACCCAGGGGGGAACCAATTCCGTAAATTCCCTCAACTCCTCCAACAAATAATATCAACATGAAACAACAGTCTGCCAATGCTCACCGTGTTAAGTGTAAACCATCACAAAAGTTAACTAATTGCAGCAGCATAACAAGAATGGTCAAGAGCGGCCAAACTATAATCAGTGTGTCTTCCTAGATACCGAAGGAACTTTGGATCTCATTTCAGCTCCAGAGTGACTGCATGAGCCATATCCTTCATCCACAGACCTTAACTCATTGCCAGTCACCTCTCCCGATGTTAAGCACGGAAGTTCTATGTCAGAACCATTTTTCTGGCTTTCTTGGAACATTGCTGGATGGGAAGCCAGAAATATAGACCCCACCTTTATAAGCTACACCTCCCAACTCAAGGTCCTTATGTTCCAAGAAATATAATCTAATTTTAGAATAACTGTATCCTCCTTATCTTAACTAATTGTAATTTTGTGTTTTATTTTCTGGTCAATGATCAAATAAAGGATTGATTGATGAAGGAAGTCTTTCCAAACATCCAGCGGTATCTTCAGATATGTGAGAGATAAGCAGAAAAGGAGAAATAGATGATAGTTCTACATATCTTTTAAGAAGTTTAGTAAATGTTGAAAAATCTTTGGTGTGCTTGGAAATTCCATTAATCCATAATCAATTCCAAATGTCATTCCATGGAATCCATCCTTAATATGAAGCCATGTCACAGGCACACCGTTGTCCTCGAGCCGTTTCTTGTACAGCAACCCGTCATCCCTAACAACATCATACTCACAGGTTAAAATGAATGCCTCGGGTTGCTGGCTGATAGTGCTTTCTTCTGCTAGGAGTGGGGAAAACATAGGATCAAGTGCTTCTTTGCATATCTCATACAATTTTTCTGAAAATGGCGCAGGTACCAGTGGCACATAGCCCCGAATCTTGAATTCATCTGGGATATAATCTGCACTAATCCATTTTCCATATTTCTCTTTCAGCTCCTCTGGAACATGGGCGTTCTTCATGATTCCATCCAGATCGACAAATTTCCCAGTGAGATACAAGAAGCCAAGTTTGATAGCCCTTTTTTTGAACAAGGGGGGAATGGAATGGTTTTGCTGATAGGAAGGTAAATTGAAGTCCACAGCCTGGAGGAATGGACTGAGTAGGATCTGAGCTCGGACCTTTGGAAGATCATTCCTTGCCACCAGATATTGACAAGTTGCAGCAGCAAATGTGGCTCCGCTACTGTCTCCACCAATGATGATGCGATTGGGGTCCACGCCATAGTCTTCTGCATTCTTCAAAAAGTGGATTGCAGCAATCTGGCAGTCGATTAATGAAGCTGGGTACTGATGCTCTGGAGCTAGACGGAATCTAAAGCAGAAACGTTGTCTACATTTCACGGAATCAACATATTCACAATGCAGTTAACTTTAACCAAGCCATGCTTTTATAGTATTCTGTTCCCGCTTATTAGTATTTTAAGAAGGTTCCATGACTGACAGAATAATAGAATAGTAGAGTTGGAAGGGGCCTATGAAACCACTGAATCCAACTCTTTGCTCAGTGCAGAACTTCCTGTTAACCCTCCCCCCCCCTCACATGGCTGTCCAGCTGCCTCTTGAATGCCTTCCATGGGGGAGAGCCCCCCACGGTCTCCCTGGTTCAGTGGTCCCATTGCCCTCCTGCTCTATCAGGGAGTTTTCCTGATGCCCAGCTGAAATCTGGCTTCCTGTAACTTCAGCCTGTCATTCCATGTCCTGTGCAATGGGATGATCGAGAAGGGATCCCGACCTTTCTCTTTGTGACAGCCTTACAAGTGCTTGAAAAGTGCTAATTTATCTCCCCCAGTCTTCGCTACTCCAAGTTAAACGTGTCCAGTTCTTACAATCTCCCCAAGAGGACTTGTTTTCCAGTTCCCTGGTCATCTTTTCAAGTTTATCCACATATTTCAAAACCTGTAAAAGCCAGAACCATACACAGTACACAACTGAAATTTTGACACCATGGCACTATTTAACCCCACATCATTATTTATTTATTTACTTAGAGTTTCTGTATGCCATCCCGTAGCTGATAGCCTCATCCCAAAAGTTATATAGGGTTGGAGGTATGTTGTGCATTTCTGAAGAATACTCGGAACCCATCTCTCACTGCCAGGTACCTAGTCCTTCTTCTGATTCCCTTCCTCCGTTCCACTTCATTTTTGCCGAGGGAAGAAATTCTGCCTCTGCCTTCAGGGAGAAGGTTTCCAGTGGGAAGATCAGCCTGCACTTGGCTGCACTTGCCTCAATGCAGAATTAACCCCCTCACCATCATGCCTTATTCCACACTTTCTGTTCAAAGGCGGAGGTAATGCTTGGAGCATCGTGTAGGTGTCTTGAGTCAGACCCAGGAGTCACAGCAAAACTGTACAGAAAATAAGAATGCCCTCAGGCCACACCATTGTATGCAGCATGATGGCATCTCTCAGGGATCTGGCCAGAGAAAGGGGTGGACAGAAACAGATGGCCAACTCTACATTGAGGCAACATGACACCAGAAGGAACCGGGAGCAGGAATGGTCAAGCAGGATGTGGGCACGACAGCTTCAGGCAGACCTGGCTCCTATGGAATGCGCTCCCCAGAGAGGTCCGCCTGGCGCCGTCGTTATTTGTTTTTCAGCGCCAGGCTAAGACCTTTTTATTTGAAACTTATTTTAATTGTTAATTTATTATGTATTTTTAGGATTTTAAATTTTATGCCAAGATGCTACCAAACGTTTAATTAATTGGACTGTTATTTATATACTTTCATTATGTTGTGAGCCGCCCCGAGGCTTTGTTGCGATGGGGGTAGCATAGAAACGTTTTAAATAAATAAATAAATAAATAAATAAATAAATAGCTCTTTGCTCAGGACTCCCAGCTGGTGCCCATCAGTCCACATGGTGGGCATGTCATGAGTGGAGCCGGCTGGTGCCGGAGGTCAGACTAGATGGCCCGGGAGGTCCCTTCTGACTTGCTCTGTTTCTATGTTTCTATGTTTCCAGCTGGGCCTGGGGCCGATCCTGCAAATATGGCAGTGGTGGTTTTGGTTCTGGCCACCAGGGCAGACTGGATCCTGATGCAGAGTATATTTTTTTCCTAGGCTTGCGTTCTTCAACTGTGCAAAAGGCCTTGCAGGATAGCATGGATTTTCTGACAAGAATAGCCAGTTGTGTGCCTGATGACACACTTTGAAGCCCTCACATGTTGGCTCTGGATTGTTGTTTCTGTTGGAGATGCAGCTGCTGGCTTCTCTGGTGGAGAAAGCTCAAGCTAAGGGCAGTGCAACTCTCTTGGGAGCATGAGGCTCATCTAGGGGTGTGAGGAGGCAGCGGGGCTCACCCCTTTTCCTGGGGCCTTCCACAGAGCAGGGCTGAAGATAACAGGGCAAGACTGGGAATCTGTGTGGGGAGAGCAACTCGCGAGAAGACCCTGGCCAGGAGACGCGTGCGATCGCACAGCTGTACAGGATTGCGGACGGAGGCAGGAACAGCTGGCTTGGGTGGAGTGGTGCAGGAGGAGGGCGGATAAAGGAGGAGAGAGGGGGTGAGCGAGGAGGACGGAAGAGAGGAGGGAAAGCCGAGACACACGTGTGGTGGGAGAGGGCAAGGCGGTCGCTGGCAGGCGAGCCAGCACAAACGGAGAGCAGAGACTGGGGAGTGTTCCAGCGAGGCATCGCCCTTCGTTGCCATAGCGACAGGAGGGCAGGGAGCCAGAGCAGGCCAGGCCAAGGTGCTACGGGAAGCAAGCCGATGAAAGTGTGAAGAGGCAATAAAGACCCGGTGAGTGCACTGTCCTTCTGGTGTTGCTCTTCACTGAAAATCAAGGAAGAGACAGCTTTAGCTGGCACCCCTCTCCTGACACAATCACAAGGGGAAAGGAAGCCACAAGCATGGGCTGAAACACTCACAGCACCCCGCTCTCAGGGCAAGCACGCCTTCCTTTCGGATGCACTCGAGCAAATCTACTTACCCCACGCTCACAACCACAGTACCACTTTCTCGCGCAATGTGTCGAGCCACCCTTTCGTACGCTTCTGAAAAACACAGTATTTCCAGGAAGATAACTTAATACGGTCTAGGACTTGAACATCTAAAGGAATGTCTCCATCCATAGAAGCCTCCTTGGACCCTAAGAACTTCATTACAGGTTCCTTGATGAAACCACCTTTAAACGATGCTTTAAAAGGCCTTTTCAGTCATGCCACCTATCTTTGGAATCTGCTCCCCAGAGACGTGCACCAAGAGGTTACCTCATACACATTTTGGTACCATGCAAAATTTTTATTAATTTTGGATTATTTTAATTGTTGAGTTTAAATTTTAAGTTAGTACTTTAATTTATGAATTTTAGAATTGTAATTGGTATTGCAAAAATACAACATGGGTCCAAACTGGCCACTGTATGAGAATAGCACAGTTGATGTCCTCTTGGTAGAATTAATTGTTTTATTTATTGAATTTGTTTACAATATTTTACGGATTTTTATGTTTTTTGTCTCACTGTATTTTATATTGTTGTAAATGCTTGTAAACCATCTAGCGAGCCATTTGGCTACTGTGAAGGTGTATAAAAGCTTGGGATGAATGAATATTGTCCACAAATATTTATTAAGAGAAAAATATTCTGGGGAAGCTTCTTTCCCACAGAAATCATGAAGCAAACAAATTTTGTGAATTGCTCTATCTCTTAACTGTGAACATCAAATAGAGCTAGCAGGTAATAAGCAGATTATTTATTGGGAGGTTTATAACAATTAGAAAGAATCCAAGAAACTGAGCTCAAAACAGCTAAATCATATAACAACAATTTACAGCTTCAGCTACTGTGGGTTATAGAAATGATCATGGAAGTGGTGGTGGTGGCTAGACCTGTAAAACAACTGGGATGGGTGGTTCCCTCAAACCCTTGTATCGTCTTTTGTGTCTTTATGTGATTCTGCATAAAGGGCGGTCTTAACCTGGCACCAAAAATGTTACAAGGTAGGCTCCAGGCAGGACCTCCTAGGGAGATGATGCCCTAGTTGGACTTCCTCCTTGTAGCTGCCTTCTGAGCTTTTCTTGGACTTGACACTTGGAGGAAGGCCCTGAAGGTTGACTTGGGTGTATACCTAGGTCCACATGGGGCTTTCTGTGTTTCCAAATATTTCTTCACATTTCTGGAAACTCTTTCAAAAACTCCTTCAGCTGTGAGGCAGATACATGTACTTCAAATTGTAAGGCTGGTCCATTGGCTAGGAAGCTAGAAACTGCAGGGCAACCATTTGCCTTTATAAAAGGGTTTATCCAACAGTTTGGATTGGGGTTAAACTGCAACCTCCCGTTCTTTTCAGTGGTTCGCCAACAAAACCATCATTGGATTGAAGTACACTCCAATTCTGGTGCAGCAGTACTATGAAAATGTCTAGGTTCACTCCAAGCAACTTACGAATGCTTCCTATCAAGCCAACTCCTCCGTGAAGATAGAGCATGCCTCTTTTGTTTCCAGCAGGTGATGCCTTCAGCCTGTATACCCTCACCGGCACATTATCAAAGAGCAGATCTTCAATGATCAGACTTGAGTCCTTCAAAGGTGGTACTCCATTAATCACAACCCTCCAGATCCTATACCGATGGCAAATGCCAACTTTTTCCAGGAAGAGTCCCTGTTTAGAGAAAGGCATGAGGAAAAAAAGTTATAAGTTGCATTTTGCATTTATACTTTATCAAGCACAGACAGGGACACATTTAGAGAATAGAAAGTAAAATAGAATGATGATCTGAAGAGGTGGAAAATGCTAGCCCTGCCCTTGGAATCAGTCGCCTGCAGTGATTGGGAAGCAGATAATTCAGCCCATTGTTTGTTAAGAACTCCCTGAATTGTTACATAACAAAGAATAGCTTTCCTTTCCTGGCTCTATTCCTCCGATTTTGGTAATGCAGTTTTCTGAACAAAACACATGCACAAAAATGCTTATGGAATGGGAAAAAATGAGCAGCAAACTGTGTGAAGCAGTGTTGGGGGAACAAACAAAAATTGCTTGCAAAAATCACTTGGTGCACAAAATTGTGGACATATCCGCATATTAGAAACACACACAGTTAATCATGTGGAAACTCCTGAGATAGGAGACTGGAAAGAGGAGAAGCGGAGACCTGATTCAGGCAATGTTGTTTATGAAAGGCAGATATTTTGTTCTGAACCGATCTGGTCTAACATTGAAGCACACAGACACACACTCTTCCCCCATACACACAAGAGAAGATCTTCCTTAAAGCCTTGCAGAGAGGAGGAGGAGGAGGAATGGAATTTGCTGCCATGGAAAGCAGAAATGCCCACCAATCTGGATGGCTTTAAAAGTAGACTGGACAGATTCATGAGGGAGGAGGCTGTTCATGGCTACTAGCCTTGCTGGTCATGGGCTACCTCCTTCCCCAGAGGCTGCATACCTACACACACCAGTTGCTGAGTTTCTTGGGCAGGAAGAGGTCTTGCACCCATCCTGCTCGGGGGAGAGGGGGCTCCTGTGCACAGCTGGATTGCCACCATGTGTACAGAATGCTGGAATAGGTGGACCCTTGGTATGATCCAGCAGGGGTTTTCTTATCAAGCGATGTTCAAGCATCTCTAACCAATGGCTGTCCACATACCTTCTGAAGGCATCCAGTGCAGAAGAACCCACAACCTCCCAAGGCAACTGTGTCAAGATCTGAGGCAGCTTCAGGGCTCCCTCTGCTGGTTCCACTTGACCTGGAACCCAGGTCCTCCCTGACTGGTCTGCCTTTCCCAGGTCTCTGACCTTTGGCTCCCTCTGGACTACATTACCCGTCTCTCCGGACTAGGTTTGTGTATCGACTTCCGGCTTGACCTGGACTGTGCACTGGACTTGTCTCACCCTGTCTGGCCGGGTCCCCGTGCCATTGCCCTGTCAGTCAACCGCCCTTGCCCCGGTCGCTGACACAGTGTGTGGATAGTGTTGCATAAACCACTCCTTCTAGCTTCTGTTGTTGCCAGCCCGACATTCCAACCTATCAAGATCACCTTGAATTTTATGTCTGTCTTCCAGAGAATTAGCTATCCCACCATTTGTATCCATTTGTGTCATCTGCAGATCTGGTGAGCATTCCCTGCAGTTCCTCATCTTATGATACCTGGACCATCTGTGGCCATGCACAATCTAGATAAATAAAGGCAGCTGGTCCCTATGTGTCAAGGCCGGAGGCAGCTTCAGGGCTCCCTCTGCTGGCCAAGGGCCGGCGGAGCAGCTCTGCTGGCTGCAGGATTCTGACCTCCGTCCACCGCAGCTGCCAGGGCTCTCATGCGTTCCACCTGGGGAGCCCTGGGGAAGAGCTGTGTAAGAACCAGCTCTTCCTCTCAGAAGCTGCCTTGGCAGCAAGGTCTCCTCTTGTTGGTGAAGCCCTTCCTGCTCTGTTAGACCTGGAACTCTGCCCCTATGTGCTGCCTGCACCTCTTCTCTCCCTGACTGTTTGGCCTTCCTCAGTTCTCCAACCCTTGCCTCACTTTGGACTACACTACCCATCTTTACAGACTTGCCTAGTATATCAATCTCTGGCTTGACCTTGGACTGTGCCCTGTATCACCCTGGATGCTGACAAGCTGATTCCAATGCAATTGCTTCAGCAGAGAAGGAACTTTTCCTGAAGTTCCACCAGAATTTGGCTTTTTCTAACCTGAGTCCATTTTTCCATATCCTGCACTCTGGGATGATCAAAAAGAGATCCTGAGGATCTTCTATGTATGTGACAAACAAGCACATCTTTGAAGAGTGCTATTCTTTCTCCCCAGGCCTGGTCTTCTCCAGCTTAAGCATGTCCAGTTGCCCTCCTCTGAACCTGATTGTCTGCATCTGTCTTGAAATGTGATGGCCAATACTGAACAAAATACTTAAGATGTGGCCTAACCAGTACTGAGTGCAGGGATCTAGTATTTTGCATGATTTGGAAAAGATGCTGCTATTAATGCAGTCCAAAGTAGCATTTGCCTTTTATGCAACCACATTACACTGTGGCAGTAAATTCCACAAGACAAATAGACCTGTGCAAAATGTCCTACTTTTCAGTCTGGGGCCACCTGTTGTTCATGTTCTTTGGGTGATGCTAAGCCACTTGTAAACTTTTAATTTTACCTGCATGATAAATGGGGTTGTAAACTATTTCTTACATTACCTTTCATAGCATCACGATTTAATTTCAAAAGTCAGGATTCTAAATTCTCAGGGAGAACTTCCCCTGATGGTCAAGGATGCTTTTTGGCGACCATGTGGCACCTGGAGGAAACCGTGAGAGTTGTAAGGGAGCAATTGCTCTCTGCTTGCCTTCCTTGTGTGTAGAATTCACACACAATAAGGATGACTCAACTGACTAGATTCCTAAAGCCATATAAATGAGTGTGCAGACTGTGAATGTGCATTTAGTGTGACATGTGAATGCATCCCTCTCATTAGACATGATCCTTCCTGATGCAAAACAAATAAGAAGGATTGGGGCCCTTATACTGGATTATTTCCATTAGAAAGGTCGATCTTTCAGGTCCTTTCACCTATGTGTTCCATTCTCACCATTCCCAAATTATCCAAGGGTCAAAAACGTTATTTTAAAAACATAAATGGTGTGTGGAGGAGATGTTGAGCTAAGTTCATCCAGTTCCCTTGTTCTCACTACCTTATTTGTGTGGCTGCAAATTCAAAGGAATTGCAAGCACAGCAATAGATGTACTAGGAAGCAGATAATGCCTGCTATAACTGGAATTACTTCTGTGGGTGTAAATTAAAGATCTTCACGTTCATTGCCCACCATTTAGGTCACATGCAGGAAAAAACTGAAAGTCTCTTTTGCTTGGATTCCTTTCAAACTTCTCATTCCCTGTCAACATAACATTTTGCGACACAAAAAGCAAATCCCAAATACAGTCCTTATACGGTTTCCCACAAACTGGGATGAAAAAGACAACTCTAAAGCTTTCCCCTTACTGGATGGGAAAGGAGGTGTTTGTTATCAGAGTATCTACTTGCGGAAGTCAGATTTACAAAGTATGACCAGACAAAGGCAATGTATATTTCTAGGTGTCCTGGTTAGTTCTATGCCAGCAAATTCAGCTGTAGAAGATATACACATTCTGTGTCACCTGTATAATTAAGTTATATAAACAAGGCCATGTTATGGACAAAGATCAAAAGAAAAAAATGTGCAAACTTACCAGTGCAGTGAAAAACCCCAAAATAAGATTAGCGCATCCTAGTTTTGCTCTCTGACTTATCTCTGCAGGAATGTATGTCCTTGTAAGATTATAACAAATTGCCCATAAAAGCAGCCAGGAAACAACACAAATGCCCATGTACAATGCCAGCAACCACAACATTTGCTCAACTGCCATTCCAGAAAAGAGATGTTCCTTTCACTGATTTTGATGTTCTACCTCAGTAAAACCTTTCTGATTAATGCTAAGACAAGCAAAGGACTTTTTTCCACCCACATAATTAATAGCTGGGAAGAGATCTAATTAGGTGCTGGATGTTGATTTAGAGAAGCCAGTTCCAATCTGCATTTTCTAGGCTTGGCTGCATACATCAAAATAGTCTGGGTTAGTGAAATACTAACCTTTCCCTTCCATGCAGAAAAAGGTCAGTAAAATAGTAAACATACATTCCTTTTTGGAGCGTAATATGAAAAAAAAAATCATTATTTAGTAAAGAATAACGCATTCCAATCCAGGAGTTACCATTGTGTGTTAATCAAATATGTGTGTGCAGAGGAGAGAGGGGAAATGGGTCTTCCAGCCATTGAATGTGAAAGCTGATTTTCTGAATTGGGGAGAAGCCGTGGAGATTCTTTCCACTGGTTTTGAACCCAGAAAAGTTTCTGTCCCAAAACCTTACCTGGTGACCAGGTTCACATGACACCACAACTCATGGGGTATGAGGCAAGACTGAGGGAACTGGGTCTCCTCTCTGGAGAAGAGGAGACTCAGAGGAGATATGTTGGTGACATACAGGTACATGAGGGGATGTCACATGGAGGTGGGTAGAGACCTGCTTTCCCCTGCAGAGGAAGGCAGAATGCGTTCCAATGGAACGAAGCTCAGGGAACCAAAGTTCCATTTAGATGCCAGAAAGCACTTCCTGACAGGACTCTGAGGGTGTGGAATGGGCTTCTACAAGAGGTCGTTGAGGCCCCATCGATGCAGGTGTTCAAAGATAGGCTGGACATGCACAAGGTGGGCATGTCATGAGTGGAGCTGGCTGGAGCCGGGGGTCAGACTAGATGGCCTGGGAGACCCCTTCTGACTTGCTCTGTTTCTATGTTTCATCTTGGGTTGTCACCCATGGAGACTTGTTGTGAAAGAATCTAAGCATACAGTACAATAATTACAATTCATTAATACCCGCTAATCTCAATTTGTGCAAATTTGTGGCAGCTTCACAAAACTTGCCAGTTTCTTAGTAGCTTTTGGTCATGATCCGACAGTAAAGATACCAGATGTGTTTCCATGATTTGTGCCTGGCTGCGTATCCCATTATGGCAGCCAGGCACTTACCCAGCACTTCACTCGCTCTCCCCGAAAGCAATGCAGAGAGTCACATGGCGCCAGCAGCCTTATTGCCACATCACCTGACTCAGCCGTTCTGTGTTTATGCTAAATAGATGAGAGACAGAAAGGCATCTTGCAAGATCCCAAAGCATGGATGCCAGAGGGCCAGGTAGAATCCACCCACACCATTTTAGAAGAGAAATTTCTGCCTGGGATTTCCCCATTAATACCTATTTGGGGAATCCCAGCTTTTCACTAAAAAGGTAGTGGTGGTGCGGAAGCAGTTGGGGGAAATAGGTTTGAAAGAAATTGGTTTGACTTGAATGAGGTTTCATTTTGTGAAGAGCTGCCTACTATCACAAAAGAAACATTGAATAATTTAGTATTAATAAGGAGGGGTATTGTGGTTATTCTGGAGGCAAGTGGGCAAATTTATTAGAACTAGAGAGCTAGTACAGCAAAATGTGAGAGATTTAACAGAATGGGGAGATATGGATTAAATGAATTAGGAGATAAAGGTTTGATATGCAAGTTACAGAAACAGAGTAAGTCAGAAGGGGTCTCCCAGGCCATCTAGTCTGACCCCTGGCTCCAGCCAGCTCCGCTCATGATAGCTGTTGACATTGTGATAAAGCAACAGATGAGGGAAAATCCTGTAAAACAGATATGGGAAAGAGGAAACACAGAAAGAAGAATGGATCGAATTTCCCTTCCAAATCATTCCGAGAAGATGGCGACTTGAAGGGAGCAACTTCTGAGTGCTCTCTGCTTTTTCTTGTTGTTCGGCATCTGTTCACAGCCAAATGAAGTCTAGTCCTTCTCTTCACTTTTTTGATGAAGACCCTTTGACAGGTGAACCATCAGGTATATCAGGAATCCCTGGATGCCTGATTTGTTCAGATAACATACAAGACGAAAAGGAAAGTTAAACAAGGAAAGGTTTTTTAATCTCCTCCCAGTTACTTCTTTTGCTGCTTCCCTACCCAGTTTTTTCTCTTTCCTTTTTCCCCCTAAGCCAAGGCACTATAACTTGCAATCTCAGACAATAACCTTGAAAAACATTCTTTTGCATAACCAGAAGGAGCTTAAGCATGAACAGTTGTTTTTATTTAACTTCTAGTGGGACTATACAGCAACAAAGCTATAAAGTTTATCTGTTAGAAATGTTTTAATAAATAAATAATTTGTACCAAGACCAAATGTTTGTACCAAACCTTCTAATTGTACCAAGAGGCTAAGAATGACTGATTAGGTGTTGATTCTTGTCCATTTGAGCAGTCTGTGTGATCGGCACTGGCTGGTAGGGGATGGATGAAACTCCTCTGAGAATATTCTCTCCTAAGTTTGTCTTCCTCTTTCTCCCCCCTCCCCCCCCACAAGCCGAGGGTCCTTAACTGGCAAAAAGGATTGTGAAAACAACTTTTACTGACTCAAACCGAGTTCATACCTGATCAGCCACCTCACATTTAACTCCTAACTGGGCTGTAAAGTGATAAAGCTATACAGTCATTTGTTGACCAAATCAGGAGGCTAAGAATGGTCAATGTTGATGGCACTTAATTTGAGCAGTTTGTACTGAACGGAGCTTGCTGGTGGGTGGTGGGAAGAGTGAGCTCTGTCAGTCAGGTGCCATTCCTTCTTTTCTTAGTTGAAAATGATCTGAGAAGTCACTGTTCTTAAGGACTGGCCAAGAACTGATCTTACCAGTGCAGGTGTGATTTTTGGATGGCCTTATTTCTGGACAAAGGGGGAACAGAGAACTTTGGAGTTGTCTTTGGGACAGTCATTTATTTCCCTTTAAAAAGTTAGACTTAAGAAGTATGACACAATTAAATGTTTCCTAATTTGGTGACTCTGCCATTGTGTTGTTGGTGCCATCTGTTGGTCCTTGGGAAAATTGAACTTGGGAGAAATTATTTGGAAGAGATTGGAGAATTAGAAGAGCATCTGTTTGGCCAGCTGACAGAGTTACTGACAACTGGTTGACCCCACTGGAGAAGATACAGACCTTTCCCTGGGAAAATTATCCCATATTAATATTGAATTAACAAAAATTAACTATAGAATAAAAAGAAATTAATCTAACAAACTCTTAGGAGTTTAACATACCCAAAATATATTAATTCTGTCTTTTCTTTTTTCCTTCTTCTTCTTCTCTCTTTCCTAGCACTCCTAAGACACTTGCTCATGGCCCATCCTTTTCCATGATTTAATATTTATCTTATGAAGCAAGATTGTGAATCAAAGGGAGAAAATTATAGTGGCATTAGAGGCTTTCAGGAATAAGAGAAATAGGGTTGAAACCTATAAGGATGATTATGAATCATTCCCCTCAGTGTAGAGAGAACTTGACACAGCCAATTTTGAAATGATGAAGGAGAAGAAATAATTTTGAACAATATTCGCTCAGATTAAAAAGTCAGAATGAAAATCTTGTCCACAAATATTTATGGACCGAACTCCCCCTCTCAACGTACTAAAGTTTTTAAGTCTCTAAGAAAACAGAAGGCAGACATAATATGTATTCAAGAAGCCCACATGAAGAAAAAAAATACACTCACATTTTAAAATTTAAGAAGTTGGACAGACAATACAAAGTCCTAGCAGATATCAAGAAGAAAGGGGTCATGGTTTATGTTAGAATCAAAGCCTGAACATTAAAGAACTACTGAAGGACCCAGATGGTTGATTCATTATTCTTAAGATAAGATGCCCAAGTGGAAAGATGTGTACTTTGGCAAATAAGTATGTTCTAAATGATGCAAAAGCTAAATCTTACTATTTTTTTTTTCAATTGCTAATGGACTTTCAGGAGGGTGAAATACTCATCTGTGGGGACATGAATGAAGTTTTAGATCCCAGTAAAGACAAGCCAAAGAAAAGGAAAGGAGGCAAACTTCCCAAAAATGTTTTTAACAATATGAAAATGTTGCAACTGGAAGAGGAGTGGAGATTTCAAAATCCAAAAGTCACAGACTGCACCTTCTTTGCCAACAGACAGCAGACATATCCAAGGGCAGACATGGGTAGGGTTTCAAAAACGTTGGTCTTGAATTTAAAGACTGTAAGGATTCGATCCAAGATGCTTTCAGACCACCATCCATTAGAAATTATCTGTCAAGATGAGCAATTAGGAGCTAGAAGATGGAGACTGAATGGCAACCTTTACTTCAAGATGACATACTGAAGAAATGTGAAAGAGTTCTAGGAATCTAGAAGAGTTCTTTAGATTGAACACCACAAATGACATCTCCATAACAACAATATGGGGAGCCAGTAAAGCATACATGAAAGGGAACTTAATATCAATGGCTTAAAAGACAAAAAAGGAAAATTAGCACACGCTACAATGCTCCTTGAAAAAAATTAAATATTAGAAGATTGTTATAAGAAGTCTCCAGGTAAAACCATTTTAACTGAACTTAGACAATTAGGAAGTTAATTAAGTTTGATTGAGACAGAGGAAGTTCAGAAGAAAGTAACATTTTTAAAACCAAAACACTCTGAACAAGCAAACAAACCTGGAAGATATCTAGTGCACTGTCTCAAAAGAGAAACGGTACAAGAATAAAATTGAGATTGTTAACAGAAGTAAAGAAGGACGGCAGAATCACTCACGTGGGGAAAGAAAGGCATGATCAAGTTAAACTTTTTTCCCATTTGTCTTCCTAGATGTGGAAACAGACTTTGATAATGCCTCTTGGTCTTTCTTGTTGAAAACTTAAATACTTAGATGGTAGCGTGAGATTTATGAACTGGATCCAAGCAACATGCTAAGATCCTGCAAGTTTAACTGAAAGTTTTCAGATTGAAAAGGGGATCCATCAAGGATGTTTACTATCTCC